CCCAGTAACACACTTCTTTCAACAAGGCCACACCTCCTAAACCTCCCCAAACAATGCCACCAACTGGGAAACCAAGTGTTCAAATGCCTTTGTTAATGGGGGATAATTTTCATTTAAACCACCACATCTCACTCCCTGGCCTCCAGAAGCTCATGACCACGTTGTAACACAAAATGTGTTTGATATAATTAAATATAAATATAATATAAATATAATTTAATATAATTTCAAAACTCCCCATTTCACAGGGTCAGTACCACTAAGACACAAGGCAATCTCTTAATTGTAGCCCTTATAAAATCAAAACACAAATTATGTACATTCAATGTATAATACACACTGCCCATCCAAATGGGAATACTGTAACAAGGTAAGATCAGAACTCAACAGGGCAAACACAAAATCCTGTAGTCCCACATCTGATGTCAAGAGACTTTGTTGCCTCTACTCCTTGTCTTTGTGCATAAGTGGAATCCTGGACTGACTGGTTCCACTCCCCATGTGCAGTTCTCCTTGGCAAGTATCCCATGGCTGCAGAATCACCAAAATTTTAGCATCTTTGCTGCAATTTAACATTCACGTTCATAGCTTCTCAGAGCTCTTGCCTTCTCAAAGCCTTCATGCAGGAACTCATCGCCCATAACTTTTCTGGGCTCAGTGGCTCTCTGAAACCATGGAAGAAGAACTCACAAACCTTTCATATAAGACAGCACCAAGCTGAGAAACCTGCTAAATTTGGCTATCAACTTGGGGTGGGTCCTGCCCCAGTGAGCCACATTAGCAGCTGCCTTTGTTTGCTGTTGCCTTCTAGGAGCAGAAAAGCCTCTTAGTCCATTTCCCTTCCTGATCTGGAAGCATAGCTGGGTGGGGTCTCACCCTGTTCCAGTGCAGATCAGGCCTCTCCTTCCTTAAAGGTGCTTACCTCCTTAACGGTTGTAGCCTGTCTTTTAGTGTGTGCCTTGGCTGTATCATTCCAAATGCTCCCTTTCTTGCCAAACTGTTTATTTGGTATTTCTTTCTATGCTGCTTGCTCTCTTCCACTGTAGACCTGAGGACACATTATTAATAAAAAACAAGCCACAGACTCAACATTATATAGTCCTGACATTTTCTTCACCAAAGAAATTTGTCTGCCACTTTTTTTTTTTTTTTGTGGGTGGGTTCTGAGACAGGGTTTCTCTGTGTAACAGTCCTGGCTGTCCTGGATCTTGCTTTGTAGACCAGGTTTGCCTGGAACTCACTGAGATCCACCTATCTCTGCTTCACAAATACTGGGATTAAAGGCATGTACCACCACGCCCTGCTGAATCTGTCACTTTTAAATTTAGTCTCTGGCATGATTTTAGGACAAAAGAAGGAGGCTGTCAGATCTTTGGCCAAGACATCATAAGAATGACTTTTAGCCCAGTTGCTAATATTATTACCTCTGAAACCTCTTGAGCTGGGCCTCCATAGTCCTCATTGCTCTCAGCACTAGTGTCTTTCAGGCCTGATTAGGATTGCCCACTTGAAGTATTCAACTGCTTTTCTAGTTCAGATTTCCACAGTCTTCCACATTCCTCCTCAACACAACATGGTCAAGTGTTTCACAGCAACAGCCTACACTCTGGTACCAACTTCTGTATTAGTTACTTATCTGTTGCTGTGACAAAAAAAATCCCAAGTTCAAAAGCAGCAACTTATTTAAGAAAGAATTTACTTTGACTTACTGCTACAGAGGAATAAAAGTCAGTTATGGTGCTCTCTCCCTCACACTGGAGAGGCTGAAAATGAAGTTGAGTGCATTAGATTGCAGGGTTTTAATCCTGAAGTCTCTCATTTTCACACCTGGGGGTGAGCTTTTTCTAACTGTGTAGCTCATATATTTTAATTCTCTTCTATGAAAAACATGATAGGAAAAATCAAGCTTTTGTTAGTTTGTTTTGTTTTTCGAGACAGGGTTTCTCTGTGTAGCCCTGGCTATCCTGGAACTCACTCTGTATTGCAGTCTGGCTTTGAACTCATAGAGATCTGCCTGCCTCTGGCTCCCTGAGTACTGGGATTAAAGGTGTGTGACAGCACTGCCTGGCAGAATCCAATTCATTTTAATGTATTAAATAAACAAAATCAACTAAAAAATTATTGCTTCATGGGAACTATGAAAATACTAAGTTAACAAGATGGGCAAATCAAGGCATAATGATTTACATAGTAAAACAATACTTAGATTTGCAAATTTATATGAAACATCAGAGGGTTTTGTTTGCATATTTTCTTACTGAAGGACACAAGAGTTTGAAAGATTTTTCTTCCCCTGTTGCTTAAAGGATAATTATATAAAATAAGGTGCTTATGCATTTTTGTAAGTGCTTCAAACCACATAGATAAAACTCCCGCTACTAGTCAAGCCAGTCAGACAACATTTGAAAACCAGTCTTCAGAGGCCCTTGATCCTCATCCTGGAGGAGCATGCTCTTGACTAGGAAAGGGTGTCTTATCTTTCAGTACAAGGAGGAGCTATGGCACAATATTTCAGGGGAATTAAAGTGAAACCTCTCAAGCAGAAACACAGTGACTACAATTCAATGGACAGCATTCACCCGGTGAAAGACACCTCAATCCACAACCTCAGAACACAAAGTTTCCATTACCGGTTGGGGACCTTTCCTTCACAATCTTTCCAGGCTTTAAGAGTGTCAAAGTTAAGTGGTATAATGTTTCATAAAGAAAATTTCATGAATGTGGAATATTTGTCACAAATTGCCTTTTAGGGCATTGGGAAGCTGGTCCTGATAGTGCAGGCCCATAATCCTAGCTACTTGGGAGGCTGAGGCAGAAGGATCAGGAGTTCAAGTCCAACCCTGGACTAAAGAGTGCATTTAAGACTCAGTTGGGCAACTTAAAAATAGAGCAGGGGATATATTTCCGTGGTTGAGTGCTCATGCAGGAGACTTTAGGTTCAGTCTCCAGTACCTGCAATTGTTTCTACTAGTCAGAAATTTAAAGGAATCAGGATTTTTATATGCAAATTAAAACTAAAATAGCTTCTGTAGATTCAGGGCAAAGTTTTGTACTAAGTGAATACTCTTTCCAAGTTGAATTGATATGGCCTACACATTGTTGAACAGGTGAAAAAACGAAGCCATGGAGTCTTCAAAAATACAGCACCCTGTCTTCCGACTATGCAGTAGGGAAGTTGATTTTTTTTTCCTTCCAGGAGCAGCAGTTCCACAGAATTTAAATAGTAGTTCCACAAGATTTAAAATACCCGTCTTCCTCATCCAGGGGCAACAAAATGAGGCCAGCCAAGAATGGGTCAGGTGACCACACACGAAGTTGCCAGTGCTTCTTTCCCCCTTTTCACGTGGCCCTGGAAAGGAAGAAACGGAAGAGCAACGGGCGCACTAGCGTTTGCTCCTTCTATAAATTGCAATACAGCAGCTGGCACATGCTACGCTAGGGCTAGTCACCGAGCCTCGGTTTTCACATTTCAACTTGTCACAACCCGGAGCTTACTGAAATGTGCCTGAAAATATCCAGGATGACAGAGTTAACGTCTATGTAATTGGCTAGTTTAACTTGATATTTTATTCCCATATTATTCACAGGGGAAATGTTTTAGTTAAAAGAATACGGGGATGGTTGCTTTTATGGACAGGTTTAAGGAGTATTAATTCATTTATCTTGTGCACACGCACGTGCCACAACACTTGTGAGGTTAAAGGACCGCTTGCAGGAGTTGGTTCTCCCCTGGCACCATGCGGGTTCTGGGGGTCAAACTGAGTGAGGTCACCAAGCTGGCGGCATGTGTCCTTACTATCTTACCAGGCTGATAGTAAGATTTCAATTAAACCGGATTGTTCATCCTTCACTGCCTTAGTGTACTTTCTAAGAAAGTTAAAGTGTCATTTAATTTTCATATACGTTTTGCATTATCTCAAAATTAAGTCAGTTTCAGGACATGATCAGCCTTTAATTCAATAAAAAGTTTTCCTGGGCTTCTGGGTGACTTTTTCACTTAGCCGTGTGCGTAGATGGTACTGAAGAAATCCAATCTGTTCATGTCCCTTGGAGGCCCGTCAAAAGATAAGGCTTGAGCCAGGCATGATTGCACACACACCCTTGGATAGGCAGAAGATGGAGAGGTGGAGGTCAGCCCGAGCCACGTCCATCCGTCTACTTTCAGTGGGACTTAAGAGATGCAGAGAGATGCTTTCTCAAATAAACAAAACAAAAACAGCAAGCAAACAAAACTCCAAAAAGTCAGTCCGACACCAAAATTGAAGTAAATTTAGTATTTGTGTGCTCAATGTGTTCCAGAAGCCTTGCCTGGCTTTTCTCCTACGAAACTACGACAGGCAGGGCATTACAAGGTGAGGTGAGTTACGCAACGTGGCTAAGGACAAGACAGACCCTTCTGTGTTTGTACCTGCTGTCTAATCTCTGGAATTGTTGGGACTCCGGTGCCAGGAAAGTCCTGGAACACAAACTAGGATGATGGGGAACCAGGGCCCAGTTCTAATTTTGTCCGTCTCCTGGTTAACGCAGGTCACATCTCGTGAGGGTTAGTCAGTACACTGCTGGTTATCTGAGGAAGAAATTAAGGCCAAATCCAGACTTGAACAGAGTGTGGTGGTGGTGGTGGTTGAGAAATGTTAGAAACAGGAGCTGTCTAGACCTGGGAGAAGATCTTTATCAGTGACCTCTTGTGCCTGTACCAATTCCAGAGGCCGACTTGGAAAAGTAATAAGTTCAGCAAGAGACTCCCCCCCCCCCCAGTCCCTTTAGTGCCTGAAACCCCGGTCGAGGGCAAGCCTTGAGCTAGGGGCAGGCCCGCACTGGCGCCTCCTCCAGCCTAAGGTGGCACGACGGTGGCTGCGGCTGTGCCCGCACATGACCCCAGCACATCCGGCCTGGGGACCTGCTGCGGGACTCGCGCTGCCACTGGCGCGCTTCCACTCGGAGCCGTGGGCTCCTCCCTGTCTCGCTTCTTGACAAGCCAGCAGCCCGCCAGGGGCGGCACCGCTCTGAGGTCCCGAGGACGTCACGGACGCGCGGTCGAGCCTCCAGCCCGCCCCCTGGGCTCGCCTTCCCTTCTCTTCTTAGCCGGTGACGCCGCCGCGGCCCCGGCAACCGGCGCTTGCACACACTCCCGCGCGCTCCTCTCCGCCACCTCCTCCCGCACCCGGGTCCGAAGATGGCGGCTCTCAAACTCCTGTCCTCCGGCCTTCGGCTCTGCGCCTCCGGCCGCAGCTCGCGGGGCGCCTGGCACAAGGTAAATCGAAGGGCTCGAAGAGGAAGGCCACGCGCGGGAAAAGCGCGGACGAGCCGCGAGCCGGTCCTCTGCCCTGCCCATCCTCAATGCCTCCAGCCGGGGACCAGGCATCCGCAGCGCCGTGCCCGGGGCTCGGAGACCGTGGGGTTTCAGGCTCGCCCGCTCCACGGGCTGTCTGTCTTTGCTTCTTCCGTCCGCTGCCCTGATGGGGCGAGATGAAGGCGAGCAGGGCGTGCAGCGCTGGAGAAACAAACGGTCGGGGCTCCGTGCAGCGCTGCAGCGACTTTGGGGGTTCCCCGCGTCCCCACCCGCTTCTCCGCCTCCGCCCTTGGGAAAGGGTCCCCGTGGCCGCCGCCCTAGAGAGGGGCGGGTTGAAGGAGCAGAGCAGGGAAGGGCGGCGCACCGAGGCTTGCGCCCCCCGTGGGGTGCTGCTGGCCTCCGCGCCGGCGCCCGCTGAGGCCCAGATACCCCGGCCGGGCTAACGGCTGCTGGCTCAAGTTCACCGCCAAGTGAGCGGATGCTGGTGCGGCGGGGGCGGACTGCCGCTCCAACCTCCCCTTCCCTATATGGCGGTGGAAAGGGGAACCCGGACTGGAGCGCTCATCACGGGGCGTCTAGCCCTGCCAAGCGTTTGGAAGCGGATGGAGGGTTGGCGGTGCTGTAGTCTGCTACGCCTCACCTCTGCAGTCTTTCCTGACTTGGAGCGTCCCCACTCCCCTCCTCCGACCCAGATCCGGATTAGAGACAAGCAATTTTCAAAGTCCTTTAAAAAGTATCTTGACACACTACATACACTCCCACAGAGGCGCCCTCCTAGCGGGTCTGAGGGTGGTGGGTGGTTTTGCTTGTACACTATCTCGCCTGTAAGCATACATTGAGGTTGGATTTCAGTGTGGGTCCAAGAAACTGAGTGCTGGGCAAGAATTTAGTTCCAGGAGGGTGGCTTCACCATGGTGGGTTTAGTTTGCTCAGAAACCTTTTCTTTGAACGAGAAAAGGAAGTGTTTTCTTTGGTGATGTTTCCGAGCTGAAGAGTACATTCATTGCCCAGGGCATGCGCTCATAGGAGTAATCTAAACTCCTTTCTCTGTTGCTCATTTCCTCGCTAGAGAAGTCTTCAAGCTACTCCCTCGTATCCTGGGGGAATACTTCAGAACTGTATTGTTAAACTCCTCATAGGAGGGATGTTGGTAATTGCTTAGAGATTTGGATAAATACCACATTATTAAAAGAGAACTTGACCCATCAGTCAGCCTGCTGCAAGTGATGGAGCAGATGCCAAAACCAGGACACAGGGATGTCCTTGGGCCAAGGTCAAAAACATTCTTTTGGTAGTGCATGCTTGTCTGAGAATAATTTATTCAGCTGTAGGCTACCCCACTTTCAATATAATCATTAAACTGTTTCTCAAGCCAGCAAGCCTCCAGGTGGAAGAGCTATAATTATGGGTTTTGCTGTCTCTTTTTAAAAGTTCGTGGCAGGGTTCAAAGTTAGGCTTCTTGAGTGTGATAAAAGGAGGCCCAGCTCTTGGTGTCTGGAGTACTCTCGCAGCTCATGCATTGTTTGGTCTTAGGGCTTGCTTAGCCCTCAAGTCATCCCAGCTCTGTTGAGTTATAACGCTTGTGCGTTTGTTTAACTTTGGATCCCGTAGAGGTCGGTTCTTGGTCGCCCTCAGCATTGCACACTGATACTCATTTAATATGTGCATGAGAGAACTTTGGGGGCAGCTTGAGTAACCTTGGACATTTTCCAGCTAAATATAGCTAACAGGTAAACCGAGATAGTTGTTAAAACATGTTTTTATGTTTTTCTTTTGGGAGACAGGATCTAGTACCCCAGATACTTTCGCTTCAACTTGCAGTATTCTGAAGTATAGGTGTGGCCTTATTTACCATGCCTGACTTTAAAAAACAAAGCAAAACAAAACTGTTTGTTTGTTCATGGTGAGCAAGGTCATTGAAGCTTTCTTTAGCATGACTCAGGGTTACCTGGAGGTTTTTAAATCCAGTTGCTGAGCCACCTCCAAGGTTTCTAATTTGGTAGGTCCTAAGTGGACCCATTCACACTGAGCGTGGATCGATACCTCTTGGCGGAGATGCCACATGCTTTCTGGCAAGCTTGTATGCTCCTATTCACCTGAGCATTGCTGCCTTTTCCTCCTAACTGGCTTTCCTCCCTGCCTGTTCCCATGACTTCTCTTCCCCAGTTCTGTTTACCAAACTTTGATACTAAGGTGGGCAATGTCAACCTTGCTGTGTCATGATTTCTTTAACAGTAGTCAGGTGACAACATTACGATTTGGGTGTCTAGTTCTCTATCATTAAGGTAATACTTATATGTATTTTAAAAATGTGTTTGGGGCCAGTGAGATGGGTTGATGGATAATGGGACTTCACTAAGTCTGATAATTCACCTTTGACCTTTAGGACTTAAGAGAGAACTGACTACTGCAAGGCGTCCCCTCACCTCTAAAGGTGCACTGTAGCACATCCCTTCCCTACCCACTTACAGACATAGGCACACAAATAAACAAAGACCACACAGTCAGAATCTAAAATGCATCTCAAAAGTGTGTTTGGTGTATTTCCATCCCAAAGTATATTTTCACTAAATTCTCAAATGTTGAATGACAAGGGAAAAGAGATGTAGGCGAAAGAGATAACAATGCCAGTGAATGGCTAGACAGGAAGTCAGGAGATGAAATTTAGGTTCAACCATGGAGTAAGACTTCAGAGGTTTGGTGTAAGAACTTGAAGAAGGTAAAAATGGAGATGATGTTGAAGGGAGAAACATTAAACAGAAAAATATTTGCCACTCTTTGGAATTTTGTTTCTTTCATTAAAGTACTTAAATCGTTATGTTCCTCACTCAATTTTAATATTAGAAATTAGTACCATCAACAACACAGGGTTCTGCTGAAGGAGGAGAGTAGACAAATCAGGAACTTTGTGACGAAAAGCTTATTCCTAGAGTTAAGTGTCAGCATTCCCTTAGGTACTCTGTGCCAATGCAAATGTTATTTATGTATTTGTCTATTTGGCAACAGGTGGTGCATGAACTTTTTTCCAGGAGGCTAGCCCAGGCTAGCTTCAAACATGCTATGTAGCCAAGGCTGACCTTCATTTTTCTATCCTTTTGCTTTTAGTGCTGGGATTGCAGGTGCCCTGCTGGGGCACACTAGCACTTTGTTCATACCGGGCAAACCCTCCACTCCTGAGTTTGTTTGTTTTTCAAAACACCACTTAATATATAGAATCTATTGGAAGAAAGAGATTAATTATGAGTAGTTTAAAGAACTTCTTTGAACCTGCCTATCTGAGCAAAACAGGTAGATGTTATCAGAGATACACTTTTCCCCAGTTGCCCAATTTTAGAAATTACTGTCAGTGACGTGGATATTTCTTGACTCTCAGAGACACAGTGTGAGTTGAGGAGCAGGGGAGAAACTGGATAAAAGAGCAAAGCCCAAAGCTTCCTGTAAGGGGCTGCCTTGCCGAACCTAAAGGCTTTCTGGGCTTTGGGTTCTGAAGATCCTCTGTGGTACAGTTAGCCACAGGCATGGGTTTCCTCGTTGCTCCACTGTCTGCACTCCATTCCCCGGGTTTGCCAAGTAATCTCCGATTTTGCAGACTGGCAAACTGGATTGCAAATGAGATGAATGTATGGCTGGATAGTGGTGTGTGTTTGTAGTCCCAGCTGCTTGGAACTGAGGCAGAAGGGTTGCTTAAGGCCAGGACTTTGAGACTAGCCAGACCCACAGAGATATTGTCAAGGAGAAGAAAGAATGAAAGGAATGAATGAAGGAAGGAAGAAAAAAGTAATCATAAAGCTAAGACCTGTGCTTTGAAAATGTTAAAGAAATATATGGATTAATTTGTAATGGTGATGATCATGTTACATATTTTCTGTATGAAATCATTGTGGGACGGCAGACAGGGAGTGGTGAGGTTAAAAATTAAACTCCAATAAGTGACAGCTTGGTTTCACTGTCTTACCTGGAAGTGGAGAAAGGTGCCATTTCCCAAAGGAGGATGGCATCCCCTAGGAAGTTCCTATAGTCTGGCATAGAGCTTTTCTAACTGCATCTTTGGGAGACAATTGGCAATCGTCATCTTTAGGCATTGTTCAAGCTCCTCACCTGGCTTTGACCAAAACAGCACCTCTCTACAAAGACATAGCCAATGGGAAAATAATCCTAGCACATTGGTTCAGTCATGGTTGAGCTGCAGTTTGACATGAGGGTACTTTTGACCCCCGAGTTTATGGCTTGTTAAATCATAGTATTTCCCAAAGTAGGTGGCTAATTTTCTGACATTGAAAAATATTTTGTTCAAAGTTGGTTTCTCAGTAAATAGTACATAGTTATCAAATGCCAATAAAGCACACCCTAACAAATATTAAGTTGTATGAATAATGGAAAACAAAATCAAGTGCTTATGAAGTTCTTCATTATCTCATCACGTATTACATTCCCTGGAAATGTGTCACCTTACTGTGTTTGTTTTTAAGAATTCACTTTGATTTCTGTCTGTGTGACTTCATGAATTTGTATGCATGCATGTGTGCCTGTTGAGGCTATGCATGATTGCATCCCTCAGAGCTACAGTTACAGACTTTGGATCCCTCAGAACTACGATTTTGTGAGCGCCACCTGATGGTCTGATGTGGGTGCTGGGAAGTGAGCTTACTACTCTGCAAGCCATGTCTCCAGCCTGCCTACCTCACTTTGTTTTACTTGCTTTTTTCTTTTTTGCACCTTGGTTGTATGGGTGCACTTATAACAACCTTGCACATCAGTGTGAGCCCAGAGCCCTTTGCCTGCTAGGCAAGCATTCCGCTCCTGAACTGAGCAACAGCGCAGCTTCCACCTCTTCTGAAATATCTCTGATGGCCTTCTTTTCTTTTCCTTTTTCCTTTTCCTTTTCATTTAAGAACGGGGGAAGTTCAGAGTGGGATAAGCTGCTAGGTAATTAGTGCTGACTGCTAATTAGTGCTATGATGACCCTAGTTATCAGCTACTACAAAGGGGTTCCTGCTAAGTGTGTGGCTCAGTGCTGCTTCTGAATCCTCGAAGGCTGCCGGAGTGCATGGGGAACCGAGTCTTCTCTCTCTGGAATCCCACAGAGAAGCAGTTGAAGGTGACCTCACCTTTCAGGCTGTAGGGTGTAGATGAATTCTTTCCCTTTCTTCCATGTCCTGCTGAGGCCTGTACTCTTTATTTTCAGGCAGAGATAATGACAGCAGAGTTACACATTGCAGAACAGGACTCTCAGAGATTTGTTGTGTGTAAATGACAGAACAATGGAGGACTTTCAGAAAGCATGGAAGAGCGCACAGTGGTGGGAAGACTGTGTGACAGAAACCCTGACTATATTGCTTCCACAAGTTTATGTGGAATGCTTTTATGTCCTGCTTATTCAATCTATGGAGCGTTTGTTTGTTTAAAGATTTATTTTTGGATTTTGTGTGTGTGTGTGTGTGTGTGTGTGTGTGTGTGTGTGTGTGCATGCGTGTAAAGCAGAAGCAAATGAAGCCTTACCAGTTGAAGCCAGGGAGAGAATCACCAGTTTTGTGGTTAAGCCCTTTCAGAGCCCTTGTCCCTCCCTCTACTTATGTCCCAGGCTTTGGGCAGTGTGCAAACTCCTGACCTGACCTTGACCAAAATAGAAACTTAAAGGGACAAAAGTCATGTGATGATGTGTGCAACCTCAACCTTTTTAAACTCATTTGACTCTCAGTGTATACCCCTTAAATAGTCTTTTGTGCCAGTTGACAGGTACTTTAAGGAAAAAAAAAAGGAAAATAGTATTTAGAGGAAAGAAGGAATAAGAGATCTTGACCACCTCAGGTTGTAGCTGTCTGAAATTCTGTTGGGTAGCAGAGTGGGTGTGACTTTATAGCTGGGCTTGTTAAAATGGCAGTATATCAGGGTTCAGCTGTTATTCTCTCCACTTCCTCTTTCTTCAGGCTAGATATATAATGGAAATAAAGTATTGTTAATATGGCTCATGAGTTACCACAGAATCCATTTCCTCCTTTTCGCTTGCCCATACTGTGGCTGGAACATACAGGGCAATAACTTACACTGGTTTTATGGATGTTTACTGGATGACTCATGTGAGGTCCATCTCACTTGCTCTAGCCAACACCTCAGACTGCGTATTTATAAAAGAAGATTATGTAGCTCGTGGTTCGATGGAGACAAAAGCCCACCATCTGGTGATTGTATCTGGTGAGAGCATTGCGCTGCTCTACAACATGGCAGAGGAGCAGAAGGACAAGCGGGTGTGTAGGACAGGCAACTTCTCTTTGGAAAAAGCCTAGCTCTGGCAGTCAGCAATTCAGTGCAGCAAGAGCAGGAACTTGCTCCCTCCTGCAAGAATGAACCCTGTAGCATTCATAGCTTTGTGCAGGCTGACACGCCTCATGAAAGTCCTACTGCTTCTCCACACTGTTGACACGGGGGCCCAGTTCTGACATGGACTTTGGAGGTGACAAACCATCTAGAGATCATAGTGTGCCCAGGCAGTCTGTGGTGTGGCCCACCAAGGCCTCCCTGTGGTGACAGTTTGCTGTTTTGCCTTCAGCTCCTGGGATAGTGGCACAGGGAAGTGAGTCCTCTGGGGTGCTGCTCTTTCTTGTCTCTTCAGAGTTCTTCCAGCACTTGGAACTGCCCACACACTGTACTTAATTCCCCAGAGAGCAGTAGTCATACCGTAATGTGGATCGGATAAATGACGTAGAACTTGGCACAGCTAGGTTCTCAGGATTTGTCAGCCGACTAGAAAGCGAGGTTATGAGAAATGGGTGACTGATGACGCTGATATTGCGAATTTGCATCCCAGTATATGGTGTGAGTTATCTACTTTTATTCTTCTGGGTGGGGGTAGCGAGTGATGCAGCTGGACCTTCCCCCGTGTAATAGAAGATGGAGATCACAAGAGACCCTGGTGAGAACCTGCCAGTAGAGCATGTCCATCCTGGCCAAGACGAACGAACCATTTAAATCCAAACTCTTTACAGGTAGAGCGGTATCAGAGAAACAGTAAAATGGCATTACAGAGGTTAGAAGATGAAGGCCTTGGGAAGATGTTGGTCAAAGGATGTACCATTTCTGTTAGACAGGAGAAATAAGCTTAGGGAATCTATCCTCTATGGTGGTGATGAGCAATAGCAGTAACTATACTTGAGAACTCTGAGTAGTGGTGAAATGTTCTTAACCACAAAAGAGCAATGTGCGTGGTGATGCTGTGCTAGACAGCTCCAGTTAGTCATTTTGCAGTGTATAGTTGTATCAGAACGTGGTGTTATACACTATAAACATACGGAATCTATACTGTAAACATACATAAAAGTACAAAATGCTAAAAGGAATAATGAACTTTTTATACATATACACATGCCTATGCATACACATATATCTACAAATATATGGAATCATTTGCTATTTGTGTCAAGTGAAGCTGCAAATGATTGCTCACTGGAAATGTTTTTAATGTTCCAGGGATGTGTCTGCCACTTTTCTGTCAGTGCTCGTCGCCACACCAAATTTTACACAGATCCAGTGGAAGCTGTAAAAGATATCCCTAATGGTGCGACCTTGCTAGTTGGTGGTGAGTAAAGGGACTGTTTTCCTTTCGATGGTAATGTTCTTGGGTTTTAGGAAAATCATGTGACAAAGCTATATAGATTCAAAGTGCCCGTTAGTCTATCATTTAGCTCTTACTCGTTCACTGTTTGACTTGCGACACACCAGGACACCTTCTACTCTATTACGGTCTCGTCCTGAAAGATTAGTGCTTTATTATTCTGCTTTTCCTTTCCATTTTTTTTCTGATTATAGTTGAAAAGCTGGAGGTTTCAGGTGCTGGTGTCTTATCAGGAGCTGTGATGGATCCCTTGTTAGACACTCTCGCCCAGCGGCTTTCAACCTTTGGGTTGTGACTTCTTTGGTGGGCGGGGGTGGGGGGTTGAATAATCCTTTCACAGGGGTCACCTAAGAGTACTGGAAAACACAGATACTGATAATATGATTCATAGCAGTAGCAACATTATGAAGCAGCAATGAAATAATTTTATGGCTGGGGGTGGCCACAACATGAAGAACTGTATTAAAGGGTCGCAGCGTTAGGAAGGTTGAGGATCACTGCTCTGGCCACTCTGTATTGCTCCTATTTTGTTGAGCTGAAGAGCACGGGGGTCTCTCTGTTGTTGACCCCGCCCCCCATATTCTGTTTCTGCTACCTCTTTGGGATGTCTTTTGTAATCACTGCATCAGATTTAATTACACTTAACTTCCTGATTCTTATATGTGGAATCCTGACTTATTTTAGGGCATTGTTTTTTCCATTCATTCAAATTGGGAAGTTATTAAGTGTCCATCTTAAATCCTACACTCTTGGAAGAATTTTAACGATGTAAGAAATGAAAGTTATTAGCTTAGGGTTCTAATTCTGTAAAATATACTAAGTCAGATGTATAAAATGCATATTTAAATGAACAGCTGGATATGGTTTGTATTATGAAGAGGGGTAATAGTACACATGTCATATATAACATTTGTCCTTAACTTACTCAAAGCCTTGACAGTGAGTGGTGTCTGGTGATATACAATGGTTTGAAACACTGAGATCCAGTGATATGACTGATAGCTGTCTAGTGAGTTGGTAAGGTATAGTTGTATGTTTTTCTTAATACATTTAACAAAATGCTCTGTGCCTTTTCTCTTCTATTGAGAATAATAACATACGTATCTTGAAAGAACATTACCTCTGCACAGATTGTTTCCCTTTTGGGTTTTGTAGGTTTCGGGCTGTGCGGGATTCCAGAAAATCTTATCGGAGCTTTATTGAAGACTGGAGTGAAAGATCTAACTGCAGTCAGCAACAATGCTGGGTGAGTGGAAAGGCGTGCTAGAAAGACGTGCTGGTTTAAAAATGTTCCCTGAGAGTTTCTCAGCGGTCATCCCATCACCCCTGATACATTATGCAGTTTCAAACAAATGCACACCCAAGAAGCACCAAATGGACTCAGTAGGATCTGTCTGTCTGTCTGTCTGTCTGTCTGTCTATCTTTGTATCTATCTATTTGTGTATCTAAGAAGTGGTCATAAATCCAAGAGGGAGCAGTGGGAGGGGAAGGGAGAAGCTGGATGGGGGTGGTGGTAGAAATAATGTGAATAGTGAATAGGTGAAATTATCAAAAAATGAAAAAAATCTATCAATGAAATTAAATTTGCCTCATATATATAATATTATATTATATTCAGCCATCAAAAGATCAAAAGATAGTGGCCAGCTGGGCATTTGTGGCCCACGCCTTTGATCTCAGCACTCTGGACAAGAGGACAGCCTGGTCTTCAAAACTGCATGGAAACTCTGTTTCAAAAAAGCAGCTAGCTGGATATGGTGGCACATGATTGTAATCCCATCACCAGGTAGACTGAGGAAGATAGTAAATTCAATGCCATATAAAATCTGTATACCAAGTAGTGAGACTCTGCTCACACAAACCAGAAAGGTGGAGAGTAAGGGCAAGAATGGAAGGTAAGGATATTCTTTTGTTCATTAACTTGTAGCGCTGTGCTTGAACTTAGGTCCTTGAGCATGCTAGGCAAGTGGTCTACTTCTGGCCTATGTCACCAACCTTCTTTTTTTACTTTTGATTTTGTTACAAGATCTTACTAAATTGTCCAGCCTAGCCCCTGGGCTTTCTCTGTAGCCCAGGGAGATCTTGAATTAATGAGTTTCCTGACTCAGCCTCTGAAGTAGATAGACTTGCAGACCTGTGTCATCAGGCCCAACAAAGTTACACTTATTCATGTATTTTTGATGCCATGTTTCACAATCATAAGAAGCTTTGCTTTGCCTTAAATAAATACGTAAATATCTCATATCTTTATCCGGTATGCTTTCATTTTTTTAAAAAGTAAAATATATGTAAAATAAGTGTAAAAAATTCAGAATAAAAAAATTTAAAAATGGTCCCTAATGCTTTTTGTTATAGGCCATTATGTATATAGCAAGGCAGACATCAGTTTGAAATCTGTTTCAAGTTCTTTCTTTTGGTTATATCATTACTGCAGATGCTATATAATGAGATACATTGATCCTAAAAACTGTTGCTGGTCTTGATGGAATGTGAAGGACATGCTATCAATTTAGCAGTAGGACTGTAAATTAAAATGGTCATAATAAGCCATTGTTTTAAAAAGGCATGCGCATGTTGGTACATGTGATGTCAGAAAAAATTATTTGTGTGCATAACAGTAAGTCATTGGCATCCTTTCCACAAATCTTAAGATGTGTTGAATTAATGAGTTGGCTTATTATAAAGACTTTGAGAATAAACAGTGTAGATTATCTTGGAAGTGAGTGATGCAAGAGTTCATTATTTTATGAAGGATTGCCAAAGTCTCAAAACACTGACCTTGTGTTGTGTGACACTTTTCTTTTTTTTTCTTTGACAAACTGTTTATTAACTTTTGTATCCGTATGAATATCTTTTAATATACCCTTACATTAGGATTCAGGGAGGTGGTAAAGTAGCAATGGTGAATTTGGGTATCTGGTCTCCCAAAAGCACCTGCCATTCTACTCCTGATTCTTGAATGGCTGCCAAGTGGATCACCCCTCCACTGGAGCCGTCCCGTTCCATAGCTAAAGCGAGAGCATTGGCAGTGAATTGCAGACTTTTGTTCTTGGTCATGCCTTCCCAATAGGTAGCATCAACATAGCCATAGATGTATGAGCTCCCAGAGCCTCCAATGGCAAACGACTGCCTTACCATCATACCCCCCATGGGAACTGAGTACACCTGCCCTCCTTCTTGAGGGTCCCAGCCTGCAATGATGATTCCTGCCATCAGATCTTCTCTGTACCGGTAACACATCTCCTTAAAGAGACTGGCGGCTGTGTGTACTAGTGGAGGCTCATTCAGTTCGATACTGTGGAACCCGAGCTGGTAAGTGACAGCATCAGCTACTGCTTGGGTGTCAGCCGCTGAGCCTGAGCGGCAGCAGAAGATCCAATCATGAATAGGGGTCAGCTTGTCAGTCACTCGGTTGGCGATGTAGGACCCAGTGGTTGTTCTTGAGTCTGCTCCTAGAACCATGCCCCCATCAAACTGCACAGCCATGATCATGGTCCCTGTGGAGACTTCCCGGTTTTCCCAGTCTGAGGTGAGAGCCTCTGGCCCAAAGGCCGGTGCAGAGGCCCCTCCAAGAACAGCTAAGGCGGTTCACACCTTCAAAGGTGTGAACAAATATCTCCTCAAGTCAGATAGAGAACTGAAGGTAGACCAGAGTAATGATACCACCGACATGTAACTTGATCAATCAGTGAGTTTATTGGAGTTACCCACAGGAATATGGGTAGGGGTTACTTGCCAGAGCATAGACCATTCAAAGGCAGCTGTATCAACAAAAGCCCACCCCAGCATGGGGTGATGACTCATCAAAGTTGGAACCCTTTAGCCTCTTCATGACTTGCATGTTGGAGTCTTGTCAACAGTCCTTACTACTTATATAACCTTGGGGTGGGAGGGGCCTTGTGAGGCTGGTAAGTTTCAGGAACTCCTTGAGACTTGCAAGTTTTGTTTTTTGTTTATTTCCTGAGTCTCAACAGTTCCTTTTCAAAACTTCCCGTGTTTTAATGGGCTTCCTTCCACCATGGAGTGAGTATTTCAGTTCAGAGGATATTGCTATATAACACTCTTGTGTGAGGTATTATGTTAGCCTCGAGGAGATAAATGCCGCTTTATGATTACACTTCTGAATATTTGATATTGCTGATTAAAAGGTTGAACAAGCTGAGAATTCATTGATTTTTGATTTACTTTGAGTTATAAGTGTGAGCCAAAGGTTTCATTATAAACTACATGTCACCATTTACCTACAGAACCAATAGAAAAATGGATGTATTATGATATATATACTACTTTCTTCCTGACTAAAGTATTTTGGGTTATAGATATAAAAGAATGGGATATAAATGACTCCCTGCTTACATGTGGAAGGTTCATACTATTAGAGAATACTTAATAATGTATACTTCTGATTTCTTATACATCATACTAGTCAGATACAGGATGATTTTGAGGGTGCAGTGAGTAATCCCTCACTCAGAATCAAAATCCTAATTGTGTGCCAGTGTCTTCAAGCCTGGTGTTAAAAGCTAGTGAACACTGTTCTATGCCCTATTCCCTTTTTATTTCTACAGTCACAGCTCTGGTGACTTCACTGAGCCAACACTGACCATGTTGTCATGACTGTGAGCATTCTGGAGGGTTTTGCTATTTTGTTTGGGAAGGGCTAATGATGTCCTGAGATGCATACTTACATGTATGTGCTTAGTTCATGAAAGGTTTTATTTGTACCATGGGATGACTGAACCTTACATCTAAATATAGCATTTTCTTTTATTTTTGTACTTTTGATATTATCAGAGTAATTATAAATTATAATTATAAATTATAAATTGAGATCTAAACATGTTCCTAAATGAAAGTTCCTAAATAAACAGTTTCCCCAATACTTATGTTTTTAAAATAATTATTGCCAATAAGTGAGATTTTAGAAAATAGATATTCAAGACGTTTTTCTTTTTGTTGTTTCCTTTTTGATGGTTTTAAACTTTTCTTTTTATTTATTTTTTGTGTCATCACACCATGCATCTTGATCCCATTCATTTCCCAGTCCCTTCATATCTGCCTTCTTCCCTTGCAACCCCCCCAATAAAATAAAATTTAAGAGAAAAAATAGGAAAAAAAATCTCATCATGGAAGCTGTAGTGCGACACAGTGAGTCACACACACAGTAAACTCTTTCATCCATATATCTTTACATGCAAGAGTTCATTGCAAAAGTCATTGGTCTGCAAAAGTCAAAGGCCTCTGGTTTCTGCTACATTATCAATGCTGGTCCCTCACTGGGACTCCTCTTGGATATCCTGTTGTTGCGCTGTGTCATGGAGATTCTACAGCTTTGGATCTGCAAGACCAGCTCCTTCCTGTGCTCCAGCAGATCACAGAGGGGGTGGAAGTTGGGTTGGGACAACTCCTAACCCTGGTTCTGGGTTTGAGTAGTTGCAGAGTTGGTCCTCCCACCAGCTTCCCCTTGTCCTCACCACCAGAGTGAGCTCTCCAGCTTTGCCCCTTAATACACGCCCCCCCCTTCACCCTTGCAGCAATGAGCAAATGGTGGGTGTTAATTTAAAAAGGGTTGCTCAAGAGAAAGATGCTACATGACAAAGCTTGGGTGGAGGGTTTTTTATAGAGGGAAAGGGGGAGGGGAGAAGGGAGACCAGCCTCTGGGGACAGGAGTGGCAGAAGAAAAGAGAATGGCAGAGGGGGGAGAGGGAGGGAGGGAAGGAGGAAAGAAGACAAGGAGGGATAGAGTAGAGATAGGCAGAGGAGCAGGGAGAGAGAAATAGACATACACACACACACACACACACACACACACAGGGGGGGGGACACAGAGAGGGACAGAGAGACAGAGAGAAACAGACAGAGAGAAAGAGAGAGAGAGACAGAGAGACAGAGACAGAGAGAAGCAGACATACACAGAGAGAGAGATGGGAGGTAGGCAGGGCTCTTTTAAAAGGGAACATAGTGAATGTGCACAGGTGGTGCTCTTGGTGGCTGCAGCTGAGGACGTTTCCTGTCAGAACCCCAAGGACAGGCCAGTACAGATGCCTGAATGCTAACAGTGGGGCCATTTCTCTTGCTTGTACACCCTCAGGGTTGGCACTCCTACACCTCAACACAGGGCCAGTTATACTGTGTTGCCCAGGCAAGGTGCTGCAGCTGGAGAGGGACAGGGACAGCTCTCCTGCTCTTGTGACCTCAGGGTCAGCTCCCCTACCCCTCACTGCCTGTGAGGAGTGGAGGGCATC